CTCGCCCTGTGTTTAAATTGGGGGTTTCGGGTTTTTTTTTTTTTTTTTTTTTTTTTTTTGGTGCAAGGGAATGAGTGAAGGTTTAAACAGATGACCCAGTATCATCGAGGTGACACTGATGGCATTGCCCGTAAGGAGTGTAATAGGATTCCCACCCATTTCCAAAGCCGCACCATGCGAACTTCAGATCCTTGTGGGTCTAACTCAGTTCCCCTGGGTGGAGCTGCCTGGGACCCCTTTGAGCACTGAACCCCCAAAGTCAGACTCCTTGACTTGTCCACAACTTGTGAGTCGTCTTGTGTTACCGTTTTACTGTATGGGACCATTCCATTTTTCATGAGGCTTGACTTGGCTTCCACCCTTCCCCAGGGTCACTTCAACAAGGGCTGAGACCATGGCCTGATTCTCTTTACTTTTAAAGTTTTTGTTTTTGTTTTTTGCTAGGAAGTGTGTGTGCTTGACAGAGAGGGAGAGAGAGAGAGAAAGAGAGAGAGAGAGAGAGAGAGACAGGGGAGAGAAAGCACCCCACACACACACCATGGGAGATGGTCACGCCACAATGCCTTCTCCATCTCTCTTCTTTAGGATTTTGGGCATGCAGGCATGTGCCCCCTGCGTGTCCCTAGGCTGCTAGGTCTAAGACCTGAACCATGAAGTCCCCCATGTGAGATCAGGCTGCCTTCACCACCAGACGAGGGAGCCGGCTCCTGATCCTCTTTATACGGCTTCCAATTCTGTAACTTGCCTGAGGCAGTGGACATTCTTTAGACATTGGAAGGTCCATCGTCACCTGAGGCGTGTGACCCCTCTGGATCTGTATAAGTTGATGAGGGGATCGTCTCGTTGGTGACATCCGAGTTTGTCACCTGTTTATGACAGAGATTGTAAGGCCTCTCCTTCCCTGCAGGCCACTCTATCTGGTGAGCGCTGTTCTGGTGGTTTTTGTGTTTGTGGGGAAGGAGGGGAAACCGGTGAGGACAGAGGGGGCTAGAGAGTAAAAGACGCAGGGAAGAGAGCAGTAAGTAGAACGGGCGCGGAAGCAAACCCACAGAAGCTGGGGGGTGGGGGGGTTCCCATGCAAGAAGGGCTGCCCGGTGCACTGAGCTTTCCCCAGCTGCTCTGTGCCCTGCGCTTGGTTTCTCAGGGCACATCTCAGTTCCAAGTGCCGTCGGCTTGTTCTCTTATCTCTGTAGCAGAATGGATCCTCTTAGACGTGTGTAGAAAACAGCGACTCTCCCCACAGTGCTCTTTATTGAGAAGATAATGGCAGTGTTTGTCTCAGATCTGAAGGTCAGATGGTGAGTATAGGCATTGGCCAGGCTTGCAAGAGCCGGGTCTGGGTCTTCGTGGAGGTGTCTGATGTAGCTGAACTAGAAATGGGAGACTCTAAGAAATGGGGACATAAGCTGATAACGGGAGCCATCAACGGAGGGATTCTAAATTAACCAAGGGAAGGAAGACTTCAGGAAAAGTAAAATTACAGAGAAAAAGGCCCGAGATTGTCCCGTCTTCTTGTTGCCAGGAGCCAGCAAATGGCAGGTTTTGATTGCTCACATGTTCCTGGGGCTTTGAGGTTATCTGCTCTCTCTGTTTGTGGGAGTAGCTGGATCACAGGATTGCCTCTGCCCCTCCTAGAAAACTAAGTCCTTGAAACAGTGAGAAGATGTCAGTAAGAACCAGACATTGGGACCAGCAGTTGGCTTAATGGCTGTGTCGCTGGACTCACACGTAGTAGATGGCAGTTTGAGTCCCAGACCCGGCAGCTTAAACTCATGTTGGGTGCGTGTGCATGCATGCCCAGGATCCTGAGAGGAGAATGGAGGAGAATGGATTGTGGTGTGGCCATCTTCTCTCTGTCTCTCTCTCTCTCTGGAGAGCACACGCGCCCTATAGCAAAAACCTCTCCAAAAAGAAAAAAAAAAAAGAAACCAGACATTCAAGAAATGAGGGAATGATGAAAGAAATACTAGATTAGCACAAGATTAGTGCACTGGCCCAGAACATCTACAGTTATTTCCTATCTTATCTCTGATTTCAATGTCTCTTCTTCCACTCCCACCTCTCTCCAGCCACCCTGGCCTCCTCCGTGTCTTAAATGTTTTAGGCATACCTCCTCATGGCCCTGTTCCCTCTGCCAGAATGTTCTTCTTCCACATATCACCAGGCTTTCTCTACCTCCTTCTTTGTTCAGCTATCTCATTGAGACCTGCACTGACCACATCCTATTTGAAACTGCACCCCAGCGGTCCTGATTTCCCATATCTAGCCGTACTATGCACCATTAGACCTACCATTGTCTAACAAATTATATGATTTATGTTTTTAAAAATTATTTTATTCAATTTCATTTATTCATTTATTCATTTATTTTAATTTGACGAGAGAGAGAAGAAAGTGAGAAAGCAAGCCATCAGTTCCGGGATTCGAACCATGATTGGCCATTTGGGAATGTCCAGCATCTTAACCACCACACCACCTGCTGGTCCCCGTATCTTAACATATTTAAAAATAACCACACCATTATTT